GCAAAACCATCAAACAGCTAGTTAGTGACAGAGCTCATACAAAGCTGACTAATTTCACTGGCTGACTAGCTATAGACAGGCCGAGGGGAGAGAGGCATCATCCGCTAGTTAGCTGGGCGGGCGGGGTGCTCACTGACAGCGTCCCCACCGACCACAGTAACCCTCCGTCGTGCTGCCATTACCCTCACCTGTTTCTGAACATACAGGGGATGAAAACGCTGGCCCTCAACGCCGCTCCGTGCTGCCCACAGCCGCTGTCACGACGGTACCGGTGCGGGATTGTCAGCGCCGTTTGTTTCGGTGTCTGTCGGTCCCTCCCTCCTCCTCCTGGTCTCTGACGGTGTCCCCTCCTTGCTGGATGTTTCTCTGCGGTCTGTTTGCTGCCCAGCCTGCCTGTCTGCTGCCTGCAGGGGCACCGCCTCCACCCATCCACCCCAGCCATCCATCCATCCATCCATCCATCCACCCAGCAAACAGCCAAACTTCACACAATCAGCAGCATTAAACAGTGTATTATAGAGATAATGGCATTTTGTGAAGGGAAGGTGTGCATACAGTGATTGTGTACTGGATGAAATTGGAGGCTTTTTTATTGTTGCCTTCTTGAACGTAATGACACATATTTAAAGGAAAAAGAATAAATAAACCATAATGTGTGACCCCTTAAGTATACGGGACGTATTTATCGAATGCACATCCATTAAATCAGATCAAATTCACAAAATAAATAGTTTTCATAAATGCATGAACAAACCTGGAATAATAATTAAAAAATATAATAAATCAATCTATTAATTAAATTAATTACTTCAGTTTAGGCGGAAATTAACAGCATCTGCATTAAGATGATGTGTTTGAGGTCCTCTGGTGGTCTGTTTGTGCAACATGCATGACATGCAGTGCTTAAGGTTGAGATGGCTTTCAAGATCAAGACAAGCTTTATTATCTCCGAGGGGACATTTGATTTGTAGTCAGCAGCATAAATAACACACATAATGCATAAAGCAAAAAAAAAAAAAAAAACACAAATCGCATAATTAAAAAACGTAATAGTCGTAGGAACAAATGAGAATTTAAATCGATTTTTTTCTGCACCGAGGGAAAAAAATGCCTCCTCCCTGAAAATAACAGCTGATACTCTGAAACAAAGGATGTGTGCCATCACCCCAAATCCTTTCTGCCTTAAGGGTCACCCTCCCTCTGTACAGGAGGTCAGGATCATTTGGCTTCATATAGTACCT